ACTATCATTTCTCCTACAAGTCTCAAAAAGGCATTCTCACCATGTCTCAATTTTGCTCCTAAGGGGGGGTTTAGGAGCAATAATTCAGATTGAGGTGATCTCAAAAAGATACACAATTCAGATTGAAGAAATCTCATAAAGATATTCAATTGAGATCTCCGTACTGTCTTGAGAGATCAAGAAAAGACTATCCTGAGCAAAAAAGTTTTCCTCTGGGAGGTCAATTTCTCCAATTTGTGATTAATAAAGTTGTATTAAATATATTATTATTTTTATGAATGCCAAGTTGTCTGGTTTTTGCTTGTTTCATGTCTCTCGTTTTCACCTACCTATTTGTTAAATACTGAAGGGACAAGAATGAGTTAACCTCCTTTTAAGGGATTTATGGAATAATATTATCCAATATTGTTACAATTAAGAGATTTAGATGTGTGGTTTCTGTATCAAATCAATAATTAGATATTGCAATGAGGTTTAATCCTTTAACAGTTTCTCGATGCCTCTGATCCTAAAACTGTATATAAGAGGAGTCCAAAATTCAGCTCAACATCAACCCTGCTTTGTCGATCTGTGAGACTACAGTGAGTACATAAAGCTATGCTTAGTTTGTCTTTTTATCATGAACTTGAACCCATCTGTTTACTTGACCAAGATTGTATTTTTTCTCCTACAGCTAAGATCATTACAGCCATGCTGAAGGTAGCACTTATTCTGGGATGCCTCCTGAGCCTCATTGTGGCTCAACCAGTAAGTGTGACAATATTTTAAGTTATTTAAAAAATGGAAGGAAGATTAAGATTGTAACAACTACGATAATAGTAAAAGATTTTTTGCTTGACATCCTTTGTTAACAGTGAGATTTTGCTCTTAGAAAGAGCTGTTACAATGATTGTATGTGTATTTAAAAAATACAACACAGAACAGTATACTAAACATGTAATAGCTGGAGGCCAGTTTGTGACTTGGTAACTTTCTTGTTTTCCACAGATGGAGCACCAGCGATTTGCCCGCTCTGACTCTGATTCAGGGTCAAGCTCAAATGAGGTGAGAATCCATTCTGTTTTCTGACCCCAAATAAA